GCTGTTCCGTGTCAGAGGATTTACGCAGGTGCCTCTCTACTTCAGAATTCTGCTTCTATTTTCTTTCTGATGGAATCATGCTGGTTCTATGCATTCTGCAGTCACTGAATTCAAATATATATTGTACATTGTGATTTGTGTCATTATGGCATGTTTTTCTAGTGAGTTTTCCTATGTATTGTACTAACAGATTTCATTAAGTACTACTACTACCTCCGTTTCAGGTTATAAGACTTTCTAGCATTGTCCACATTCATATAGATGTTAATGAATATGCTAACATCTATATGAATGTGGACAATACTAGAAAGTCTTATAACCTGAAACGGAGGAAGTACTACCTTTTGATTTCATAACCTTTCTTGTTATTGTTATAAAATAGGTCTATTTGTGCAGGATGATGCCCACATATTTTGTCTGGAGGACCAGATAAAAGATGAAATTAGAGGTGTTCTTGATCTGACTGAGCAAATACTGGGCCAATTTGGCTTTCGGTATTATGAGATAAACCTTTCAACAAGGCCAGAAAAATCTGTTGGCAGTGATGACATATGGGAAAAAGCAACACTTGCACTAAAAGATGCACTAGAAGACAAAGGTTGGGAGTACAAGGTTGATGAAGGTGGAGGCGCTTTCTATGGCCCAAAAATTGATTTGAAAATTGAGGATGCTCTTGGAAGAAAATGGCAATGTTCCACTGTGCAGGTCAGTTGTATATTTATCGAAAATCTTTGAGCACAATGGACCACGTTAACAGTTTACTACATTACAGGTCGATTTCAATTTACCTGAGCGGTTTGACATTACTTATGTCAATTCAAATAGCGAGAAGAAACGGCCTATCATGATTCATAGAGCTATCCTTGGGTCTTTGGAACGATTTTTTGGTGTCCTCATTGAACACTATGCTGGTGATTTTCCACTTTGGCTTGCACCAATCCAAGCTCGTATTCTACCTGTGACAGACAATGAGGTTTGCTTCATTTACTTTGATCATCTAGATGCATGACTACATGTGCTATTAAATTAAAAGCACCCAACTTCAGTTCGTAACAGCATCATTTATCTGAACAACCGAAGTCAGGACATCAGTGTTCTTTTGCATCTGTGGATCCTGGTTGATTTTATTAGTGTAGATTAAATCTGTTTAAGACTTCAACCTAGCATCTTTTTTGTACTTTTACTTTTGGCTCCATTCAGGAGATATTTCCAGGTATTTGATGTAAACCAGCTGCATCTTGTTTCACATTTGCAGCTGCAATACTGTAACGAGGTGGCTTCAGAACTGAAATCAAAAGGCATTCGAGCTGAGGTATGTCATGGCGAGCGTCTACCAAAGCTAATACGGAATGCCGAAACGAAGAAAGTGCCGCTCATGGCGGTCGTTGGGCCTAAAGAAGTTCAAGCCAGGACCCTCACTATCAGGTCCAGGCATAGTGGGGAGATTGGTACTATGCCTGTGGATGAATTCTTTCGCAGAATCCAACTTGCTATTGCGAACAAATCTTCTTCACTATGAACATTTAAATATGCTAAAGAGCAGTTGATATTGTAGAGTATTAGATCTTGTGCACATACACGATATAGCAGCTGTGCTCTAGAAGAAGTTAGCAACTGAGGTCTGGAAGAGCAGATCAAATAATTTTGTGCATAATCGCCATCGCCGTGTTTTGCAATATAACAAATGTCCAGTATTCTTTTTTTGTACATTAGGGAGGCTCATATACTATTTCCACCAGGTCATAACTATTTTCAAAGGTAGAGATGCTTGCCTGGGGCCTGGCTTTGAATTCGCACGTAGGAACGAATTCATTAGGAAACTAGTGGTTACCCACGCGTTGCAGCGGAGAAAAAAAAATAAAAAAAACTTAAAAAAACTTGAAGAAAATAATTTGTAATGTCCCAAAAGACAATATTATAAGCTTGATAGTAGTTACTCTCTCCGGGCTGATAATACTTGTCGTTTTGTTTTGGATAATAGCATGGTCTCTAGAAAATAACTTTGACCATTATTTTTCATTGTAATATGTATAAAAGTGTTAACAAATATATGTTTTTATCAAATTACTTTTTAAAACTAATCTATACATGTAGTCACCATATTTGAAAGACAAATATTTTAAAAATGATTCATAATCAAAGATTATAAAGTTTGACCTCACCTTGTCTAAAACGATAAGTATTATCAGCTTGGAGGGAGTAACAGAATTCTCTCCCCTATTGCATGTTCAGAGGAGCAAGTCCAATTGGTGGCTGATCTATTGCAATGTGCTGTGAAGAACCTCCCTATAACTTACCTTGGCCTCCCGCTCTCGACGCAGCATCCAAGCAAAGTAGAGCTCCTACCCCCTCTTTGGCCGGTACTCCAAGAAGATGGTAGGCTAGAAACCGAATCCTTTTGGTTTCCTGTGCACCGCCTAGTTTCTCATCGACACGCGCTTGATGGTCCTACCGGTCTACCTTATGACCGTATTCGAGTTGCCCCCAACGGGCAATTGATCTAATCAAGTGCTAGTGTTGTGCTTTTCGATGGAAAGGGGAAGAAGAGATCAATGGGGGAAATTGCCTTGTGGCATGGGATAGATCTGTATGCATAAGGAGGTCGGAGGGCTATGCATGAAAAACATCATACTACTAGGTGTGGCACTGCAGCTTTGCTGGCCATGGCACCAATAAACCCAACCAGATTGGCCATGGGTAGCGCTTCATCTGGCAAAGGACTCCGCTCTCAATTCCCTGTTTCACGATTACCACCATAGTAGTGGTAAGGGATGGATCCAAGACAACGTTTTGGACTGATCCTTTGTCAAATATCGTCGTTGCAAGGTGGCCACGGCGTTGCAAGATAAAATTGATGGGTGCGGGACATCTGTGGAAGTCTGTCCCCCGGGCTATCTTAGAATACTTGCACATTGGGAAATTGTCACCTAGGGCAAGCTACACACCGGTGCACAAGATGAGATAATCTAGAAGTTCTCAAGTGAGGCCTCTATTACAGTGTTTCATTGTACGACATATTCTTTGAAGGTATGACAAAATCTCTGTCTGTATTCTTTAGAAAGCCAAAGTATCGTCCAGGTGCAAGTACTTCTTCTTCTTCTTGGCGTTCCGAGGAAGTTGCCTAACAGCTGGCAATCTCATGCGTCGGCACATACCATGCTCGATGACAACATGTCTGCTATGCGGCGTGGTAGCTGAGATCCGCAACCACCCTTTCTTCATATGTTGCTACACCAGGCAGGTATGGGACAATGTTCGCTAGAAAATGAAGATCGCCTTGCATCCTGACTCGGATGACTTAGCATCCTAGTGGTTTGAGGCTCACCGAAGCATCCCGAAGCCAGTCATCATGCATTTTATGCAACACTTATCCTAATATCATGGATGGTGTGGAGATGGTGCCACACTCAGGGTCTATGCAAAGCGGCGTTGCAAAGTAGCTCAGGTAATCATGGAAGAATGGTGGACTTAGAGATTGTACTAGAACTATCTACTGCTACTCGACTGTGTGTAAGAGTTCAGGCTCTGCCCTATAGTTCCCCTTTCTCCTTGTGTAACCATGGTGTAAAGCCATAGAGTCAAGTGCAACAACCATGTTTGTTGTTAATCTTTGTATTATTATTTGTGCATTTCTTTCCATAATATAGTTAAGTCGATATTCCATCGGCCTGACAAAAAAAAGATAAAATAATATTAAAAAGCCAAAATAATATATATTAATTCTAATAACTAGAGAGCTCCAACACACACATAGCCAATAGAACTTAATTGCAAGGAGTTGGCAAATGAAGCTTATGTTATTGTTATCGAAGATGGAGAATGGTGAAAAAACAAATAACAAGATGTAAAAAAGGGAAAGAATGGGTGAAATTTTGATTATATGCACTATGGTACAAAACTGAACTGGTATTAATAAAAGTACATATATTTTAACCAAATTATTACTTTGCGAGTTTTGCGATAGTTTGGTCAATATATCTTTATCTATAGTTTTTGTGAAATTTACTCTATTAATAATTATGAATTTCAATAATTATATGGTCATGTTATTAGTAATTAATATTACGTAATAAAATGAGAGTGTACCGTGTAATGGTGGATTTCGTACATCGCATGCACGATACATGACTAAATTGTTCGGATATACTACCGGCCCAAATGACATATTTACAAACAAAAAGTAATTTGTAAATAAAACTTTTATATACGTGCTCTTAGCGATCCAAAATAAAGGTTGAAAAATAAACTTCGATGAAAAAAAACATAAAATCAAATTTAAATTTAAGGTTGAAAAAAAATAAATTTTTGGCTGATAAGCATAAGCATAAGTATAAGCGAGAAGATGAGGTCGTATGCTGATGACCCATCTCCATCGATATCTTGTTTTAAATTAAATTGGTACAATCGGGTTAGTTTGCACGGTAGCTTTTTTTTTTTTGACATTTAACTCTATGCCACTTTACGATGTGGCAATTAATTATTTGCCACTCGCCGTCTATAACATGTGGGCCCTTATGTGTCTATGACATGTGGGTCCAGTGGCAAATAATTTAGCACCACTCGTAAGAGTGGCAAATAGTTAAGAACAGGTACAATAGCAGGCTATAAGCTAGTTATAAACATATTTTAAAGAGATAAAGGAAGAGAGAGAATAACAGCGGGCTACAGATTTGTAGCCAGCTGCAGCACGGACTCCAAAACGTAATGTGTGTATTACATGTAGAACCAGTTATTAATAGTATAGTAAACAACTATTGTAAGAATTGGCTATTACATTAGATATAGATGATTTAGAGATAGGAGTGGGCTGTACTATTAAACTTGCCCTAATTATTCCAGTTTTTTTTCCCTTTACTTTCTTGACATCCGTTTGCGCTTTTTGCACGGCAGTAGTAGTTCTACAGGAGTGACCACTGGATAATATTATACTATTATCTCGTGTGTTATATGGTGTTAGGCTAAAAACCACGCGAGGTTAAATCGGTCCTTGCGCTCGCGGGATCGAAGATCTCCCCACGTTCCGTCTCCTGCCTGCGCCGCCGCGCCGATCTCCATCGCCGCCGCCGCCGCCGCCGCCGCCGCCGACGAGCAGCGGCGCCGGTGCCGGCGCCGCGCCGCACACACTCCCCCCTCCTACTCCTCCTTGCGCCGGGCCCCAAGTCTCGTCTTCTCGGCCTCGACTCCCGGAGGTCTCTCCTCGCTCGCTAGCTCTCCCGCCTCGCCTCGCCCCCCACCGCACCTCGACTTCCATCCATCCATCCCCGCGACGGGAGCGGCGGTGGGTGGCCGTGCTGCACGTCGCCCTTCTGCTTCCGCCTCCGGTGAGCACACCCGCGCCGCCGCACGCGCGCACATCCCTCTTCCTTTCGAGTTCGCCTCGAACCTTTCCTCTAGATCTGGAAGCTAGGTTTGTTTTTTTTTTCTTTTCCCCTTCCTCGTGTTAAACCTTAGTACTAATCTGATCTCGTGGCATTGCAAGGGAGAAGTGAAAGTTGCGGAGCTAGGGCTAAAGGGGGATCCACTTGGTATTCTTGGCTCCAAAGCTGTCTGGGTAGGGACCGTCCAAAATTCAGCGACCGGGATCCGGGGGCGACCTGCCCCAGGGTGGGGAGATCGCTCCTTTTCCTGTGACAAGGAGGGCGAACTCTTATTCAGCCATGATGGAAGCGGACATGGAGAACGGGAGGTTGTATCCGGAGAGACCCAGAACTTTCTCTACCGTACGAACTAAATCATCTCTGCCACCGGTATGAATTTCTCCGCCTTTTAGATAGATTTAACTTCTTGTAGGTGACTAGGAAGAGTATGGGTTTAGCTTTCGTTCATTGTTTTATCCTTATATGTTGTACTAGTGCGATGGTATGGTACATATGTATTTTTTGATTTTGATGAAATGTGTCATTTCTTTTGTGTACATTGTTTTTTCTTGCAAATATATGGCAAAGAGCCAAAGATCAACATAGCACTACCGAATGCTGCATTGCGAATTTTGCACCTCCTATCTGTTTTACACACATTTGTAGTATTTCGCTCTTTTGGAGCTTTTCACTATTGAAAAACATGTAATTAGTAATCAAAGATAGCTCTCTCTGCTCATACTAGAAGAATATGTTTATTAGCTCAAATTATTCAACATTTCTATCACTGTTTTGCATAATTTTGCTTAAAGTTGTTATGAGGTTAAAAGAAAATTCTAAACTACAAGAACTTTAGTTCCCACAGGTTCATATGTTTGACTCTAGACGTTTCAATCTAGATCTGCATAATATATGCTACGAAGTTTCAAGCTACATATGTTTGTTATATGAAAATATTTTCGCAAGTTGCAAATATCAACAGATAAATGTTTTTGTTTACTTACCTATAAGTAGAGTTTATTTAACATGGCATCAGCAACAGTTAATCTCTTATTTTGCATCTCTTCATTCTCTTGTTTTGTTTGATGCAGATCTTCCGTGTGTTGATGAGGATAAATCCCCGTGCTTTCATTGTTCTTCTTCTTTTGGTATTCAGTGGTGTGCTCTATGTAGGAGCCAGTACATCACCAATTGTGCTCTTTGTGTTCTGCATATGTACTCTAAGTTTATTCTTCTCTCTCTACCTCACAAAGTGGGTTCTTGCCAAAGATGAAGGTCCTCCAGAAATGTCTGAGGTATTACAATGTCATATGTTCAATTATGTGATGACATACTGATGCTTCATATTTTCTATATGCTCATTGCTGTATACTGTTTTTCTTTGTTTTTTGTAACTAGCTATTTCGTTGTGTGCAAATGCAATATACTATTGGTGTTATGCATCTTTTGCTTTATTCAATTAACACTTCCACCTAGGAGACTGTAAATGCTCTTTTCTTTTGTCCTGCAGCTTTGCATTTATGGTTTAAATGTTTAGTTATATTTTGTTATTTCAAAAGGGATGCTAGATTTTTGGACATATTTTCTTTTTCTTCTTGACATTTATGGTTTTAATGTTTAGTTATTTTTTCTTTTCTTTTTTAGTTATATTTTGTTTTTGTTGGTGTGGGTTGCAGAATGGTGTTTAGCTGATGTACTATGTTTGCATGTTGCTTAGTACAATATAATTGGAAACTTATGCCATATCATCGTATGGCATCATATCAGACGGATCACAATTTACTGTAATATGGGCCCATTCACTAGTTTCTGGAGATTACTATAGAAGAGTTAATGCAGGCAGCCAACTAAACAAACCAACTTTCTACCATATAGAATAAGGAAATCTGGGTGCATGCATTTGTAATGTAGTAATTAGGCATCTATGTGGCCCCTGAATGCACACAATTTTCCTATAGAGAAGGTGAACATTGGTTCTATGTTAGAGCAATTTTTATTCATACCACAGGAGCTTGTCCAGTACCCACAAAATCAGGGTATCAATTAACTGACCAAACAGTTGTGGTATAAGAATTCGTATTTTACATGTTTCTAGTGCTGTTGTGCACTGGCTTTATGATATGAATTTGTTGGCATGCATGGTGCAACACAGGTACAATGCTACACTATTTCTTGCTCACCTGCTGATGTTGTTAGCTAGTGAACTACAGTTATATAAATAATTTTTTTTGGACCAGTGAACTGAATCTGGATGTCATGATGTTGATATTATATATCCTACATCCTACTGTTCTTGAGAGTTGTACTTAGTATATTGACATCTTTACCTGTCAGATTTATGCTGTATTTTTTATTGGGTGCCTTCTTGATGTTCAGATATCTGATGCCATAAGAGATGGTGCTGAAGGATTTTTTAGGACACAATATGGGACTATTTCTAAAATGGCTTGTATCCTGGCACTTGTCATTCTTGGCATCTATCTCTTTCGTTCCACCACCCCACAGCAGGAGGCATCCGGTGTTGGAAGGTGATTTCCCATTCTTATTCTGAAATCTTATTTGTGCCCATCCTTTGACATCTCATGAATATCATGGTTATATAGGACAACATCGGCATATATTACTGTTGCTTCCTTTCTCCTTGGAGCTTTATGTTCTGGGATTGCTGGTTTTGTTGGGATGTGGGTATCCGTACGTGCAAATGTTAGAGTTTCAAGTGCTGCTCGGCGGTCTGCAAGAGAAGCACTGCAGGTTTTGTTTTATACTCTTGATATACTATACATTTCATGTGTTTGTCCCTCCACAATAGAATTTCAAATTGTGACTAATTTCTCTAAACAGATTGCTGTCCGCGCTGGTGGTTTCTCAGCCATTGTGGTTGTTGGCATGGCTGTTTTTGGTGTGGCAATACTGTATGCAACATTCTATGTTTGGCTTGAAGTAGATTCACCTGGTTCAATGAAGGTTACTGATCGTAAGTTTCTCTTAAACCTGTCTTTTTTCAAAACATGTCCTGCTTAAGAGAAGTACTTTGTCCATTCACTTATATTAGACTACGCTCACTTGATTTGGGCTTGAAGATCAAAGAGCAATTCAAATCCACAAGGATATGCATGTTGAGCCAAACCTCTGATATTAATTGCAATACACATACTTTCCATGAATCCAGTTATCTGATACGGATTGCTTTGGAAGTTGGAAAATTTATTTTCCATTCAATAAACAGTTTAGTAGCTGCAACTAGGGACTCAGAGAAACAAAAATACAGTTACCTTGAAAGAGGTGTGCAACCTATAATTATGAACAGCCATGAGAAAAAATAGTACTAGGTAATAAAGATGAACAGACGGAGTACTGTTTTTTTCTTTTAACTTTCACATCTGGTCTGTAAGGGCTATCTTCTGTAACAGCTGTTTCATCATGTGAAATCGATCCTTGGTCCTGGAGAAGCTATCCATGGCACTGACAGGTTGGCCTGGTTCAAATGTCTGTCTGACACGAAGTTCATCGCTATTTAAAAATCTAACCACAGTTTCTAAAACATCAATAAAAAGTAGGAGTAATTAGTTAAGTTGAAGGACCACAATGGGACTAACAGAAAGTGGAGGAAACAAAACAGCTTATTCAAAAAGCTAAGGTCCTCTTATCTGTTAAAAAATATATATAAGCGTGGTCGGTGGTCGATAACAGGTTTAGGGCCCTGGCCAAATTTGTGCTTTTCCTGGTTGATAACACTGGTTATGGTTATATGTTTGCAATTAGTTCTTTTATTCAAATGGAATATTTCTTTTGTCAATTTCACATTTATTTCCTGTAGTGCCTCTTCTCCTTGTGGGATATGGTTTTGGTGCGTCTTTTGTCGCCCTTTTTGCTCAGTTGGGTGGTGGAATATACACCAAAGCTGCTGATGTCGGAGCTGATCTTGTGGGAAAGGTTGAGCAGGGAATACCAGAAGATGATCCTCGTAATCCTGCTGTCATTGCTGACTTGGTATTGATACTTCTCTTGAAGCCTGTTGTATTTTTTTATTATTTTCTATCATAAGCATATGATTTTTTCTTGTTGGATATGCCTAGACATAAGTCATATGATTCTTAAGTTCTATCAAGGATAATATTTCTTTGTATTTTCAATTCATTACGTAACTCCCCCAACCCCACTCCAAAAGAAAAAACCTCCATAGGTGATGGACTAGCATTGTTTCCCAAGGCTGGGGATAATTCTTCATAGAATATATAATATCTGTTATTCAGAACGAATTGTCTGGTTATAGCTAGCTTATATTTTATCTGTTACTTATACATGCTCTTCAGTAAAAATATTTCAGTTTGGTGGTGGACTGGTGGTAATGATAAGTTCTACATCCTCATCCCTCCCTCTACCTCCCCTCACAACTTAGAGATGCATCTCGAAAATCACTTTGTATTATTATTATTATCCTATTATGCTCTGTAACACATGTATACATCAGTAGTATACTAAAAGAGGGCTACTCAGGTTGGTGACAATGTTGGAGATTGTGCCGCACGAGGGGCTGACCTTTTTGAGAGCATAGCAGCTGAAATTATCAGTGCAATGATACTCGGGGGAACAATGGCACAACGCTGCAAAATTGAAGGCAAGTCTCTTTTGCTTGTCATGCAACATCATTGATAAGAATGCGAAATTGTCCAGTGACAATTCCTGTGAGCTCCTAAGGCTGTGTTCTTTGCTCAGTGTTCTCAACCCCTCCCCCTCGTGTTCCGCGCGCACGCTTTTCAAACTGCTAAACGGTGCGTTTTTTGCAAAAAGTTTTTATACAAAAGTTGCTTAAAAAAGTCATATTGATCCATTTTTGAAAAAAAAATCTAATACTTAATTAATCACGCGCTAATGGACCGTTCCATTTTTTGTGCGGAGGGAATGAGTTCCCAACACAGAATCGAACGCAGCCTAAGAACACTGAAGAGCCAGCCGTCAAATGATATTGTTAATATGAGTATATATAATACTTTAGTTATGTAATAACATGATCTTTCAACAAATCTTTATTCATGGGCAGTGCCTGGTTTTGAGTAAAATCGAGATTCATCTTTTCTTCTGCAATAACTTTTTTTTGGTAATATTTCTACTTTATAATCAGCATTCTTTGCTAATGCAGATCCCTCAGGCTTTATACTGTTTCCTCTTGTTGTTCATTCATTTGATCTGGTGATCTCATCAGTTGGAATACTCTCAATTCGGGGAACACGTGACTCTGGGTTAATATCCCCTATTGAAGATCCGATGGCAATCATGCAGAAAGGATATTCTATCACTATACTGCTCGCTGTTGTTACCTTTGGAGTGGTAAATCTAGTTATTTTTGTCATTAATTTACTGTGTCTTCCTTGAGTACTAGTGCAGTAGAAGTTCTGGCGAGAATACTTCATTTGTTTCCATGGGCTTGGATGTAGATATTCTCTAGGGTCAGAAGATGCAAAATGTGTCTGGCATGGTTTGTGTAATTTCTTTCATGTACTATTCTCATCGGCATGTCTTTAAATACTACCTCCGTCCCCAAATATAACAACTTCTGGATAAGGGTATGTCCAGATACATGGCCAAAAGTTGCTATATTTTAGGACGGAGGTAGTATCATTTTTTAATGAATTATGAAAGGTTGAAATGTCTTTCTATTACTGTATTCAATTACAGAAAAAGTAAAAAATTGATGGTACATGGTTAAATTTCGGGGGAGAATAGAAACATAAAGTTTTGAAAAAACAAAAAAAATCTAGCCCAGGAAAGTTCTGACTAAACCATGGGATCATAACCATTGCATGCATAGCAGGAGTGTTGGAAGTAAGAGAACTAATTATGTAACAAAGAACTGAAACACAAAAACATTTCCCCAATGCAGTTACTCTGGGTTATGTTGGTGTTGTCTTGTTCTTCCTTTTCTGCAGTAAACATCAAATTCTTTTTTCTCTGAAGTTTGTTATAATAATTGGCCTGTGTACATTTTCAGTCTACCCGGTGGCTCCTGTACACTGAACAAGCACCTTCTGCATGGCTCAATTTTGCCTTGTGTGGCTTGGTGGGCATCATCACAGCATATGCTTTTGTTTGGATTTCTAAGTATTACACAGATTACAAACATGAGCCTGTCCGCCTTTTGGCTCTTTCAAGTTCCACAGGGCATGGAACTAATATTATTGCTGGAGTAAGCTTGGGACTGGAATCAACAGCGTTACCAGTTCTAGTGATAAGTGTAGCCATCATATCAGCATTTTGGTTGGGGCATACATCTGGATTAGTAGATGAATCTGGGAACCCAACTGGTGGTCTTTTTGGGACAGCTGTAGCTACAATGGGGATGCTTAGCACAGCAGCATATGTTCTCACCATGGACATGTTTGGTCCAATAGCTGACAATGCTGGTGGTATTGTGGAGATGAGTCAGCAGGTAATACACTCGTATTTTTTCCCATGTATATAGCAGTTCAAACCAATATTTTGTCTTTGCTGTAGGTTTTTATTTACCGTTTCTGTTAATATGCTTTACTCATTTTCCTTTGCAATTTCAAATTGCTCTAAACTGTTCCGCCATAAGAAGCTTCTATTAAATAAAATTTAACATGTAGTTGTAGCCTGTATTTACATGTGATATTTGAATCTCTGTGTTCTCCCAACCATCTAACTGAGCAAACTGTGCAGCCTGAAAGTGTAAGAGAAATCACAGACATTCTAGATGCTGTGGGCAATACAACAAAAGCTACTACAAAGGGATTTGCTATTGGGTCAGCAGCACTGGCTTCCTTTCTCCTGTTCAGTGCATATATGGATGAAGTAGCTGCTTTCGCACAATTGCCATTCAAAGAGGTATTTTATTACTTAGACACGCAAAATACTTACTTTCTGTGCTTATAACATATATAATGGTCTTGTGTAATGGATTGCAGGTTGACATAGCAATCCCAGAGGTTTTTGTTGGTGGTTTACTTGGTTCAATGCTTATATTCCTGTTTAGTGCATGGGCTTGTTCTGCTGTTGGCAGAACTGCACAAGAAGTTGTTAACGAGGTCAGGAGACAGTTTATTGAGAGGCCTGGCATTATGGTGAGTACATGCATATAATTAAGTTTGTCATTTTTCTTATGCCTATAAAAGTTAATGCTAACTTCTAATATAATGTTATGCAGGACTACAACGAGAAGCCTGATTACGGTCGTTGTGTTGCAATTGTGGCATCTGCTTCCTTGAGGGAAATGATAAGGCCGGGGGCTTTAGCCATTATATCACCCATGGCTGTTGGTAAGTTCTATAGATATGGGGGTTATTGCATTTTTGTTCTAGCGTTGGGTACTTTTTTTTTTTTGAAAATGGGGAAACCAATCATGGTTTGCAGGTATTATCTTCCGTATGTTGGGTCACGCTACTGGCCGGCCTCTTCTTGGAGCCAAAGTTGTAGCCGCTATGCTTATGTTTGCAACTGTTTCTGGTATTCTCATGGCACTCTTCTTGAACACTGCTGGTGGTGCCTGGGATAATGCTAAGAAGTACATCGAGACTGGCGCTCTTGGTGGCAAAGGCAGTGAGTCTCACAAGGCTGCAGTTACTGGTGATACGTAAGTGTTTTATCTTTTATGCTCTACTTTTCAAATTCTGTTTTGGGGGTTGTTTCTAGGACTATGTTCACACATTTCATCAAAAATATGTAGCAATATTCCGAATGTTAGTCATATTAAACTTGTGCACAAGAATTAAGAAAGTAGCTCAAGAAGAGTCATGTATTTGTGATAGGTGTATTATTTACTTTGCAGGGGCAAACAAGTAAGGAAATATGGATTTAGGAAATAGTTGAGAAGGCTAAAAGACAGAAACAGAGGGAGTGACAATGTTTGTCATCAGGGCTTGGGACCATTTTGTTGTTTTTCTGAATAATAATATCTCCAAAAATATGGGATAGATACACTTATAGGAGTTTGTTATGCTGCAGGGTTGGAGATCCATTTAAAGACACGGCGGGGCCTTCCATCCATGTTCTTATTAAGATGCTCGCTACAATCACATTAGTGATGGCTCCAATATTCTTGTGATTAACCATGAATGTATCACAACTAATCCTGCGGCGAAGTTATCAAAGGGTCCTGTAGGTGAGCTGTTTACGTGAGTGGGATGTATTGATTCGCTAGCTTTGTGTTTATTTTGCCCGATTAAAGAGAATCACTACTGCCCATTTTGATAGTGTCCATATTATACTGTCACTTTCTTTGACAAATGATACTAATGTTGGTAATATACTGGACAGAGATTAGAAGGGCCTTTAAAATGCACATATTGTTCTCGCAAATCTGCTAACCACTTCCCCCGTTACATTTACATTTGCTTCTGCCCCATTGGTCATCTCCTATAATAGCACGATCTAAGCTTGATACAACACTATCAAGAGCTGGATGTTGTGTTTGTTTTTCATCAAAGGGTTACTCCATGTCCTGGTATACTAAATCAAAGGTTTTATGTGCCCATGGGTTCTCTCGATCGCTAGCTTCGAGGCGTCTGTTCTCCATGGTTTTCATGTACAATTTAGAGTCACATTGCCCATATATATAGTTTGAAACGTTTGATACAACTAGATACATATGCACAATCGTGGTTAATTAAAAAAAATGCACATGAAAGAACAAATGGAGCTGATGATGTTTGGTGGTGGCTCGTACGTCCGTACGATGATATCATCACTTCATCAGGTACAATACCGGCTGCATCACATTTGATGCTAGCTTCCTAATGGGTTCTCCGTTACAACTGCTGTACAGCACTCTTGCATTATTGAGATATTAGGTAAGCCTGTTTGGTTGCTACCCTGAGCAAGATGCCTGAGTATTTTTCATGCTTGAGGATAGCCTGAGCTTGCTTACAAGAGTTACCTAACCAGGCATGGCTTAAATTTAAGGTAGTGGTTGGTTAAAGCCCTGAGAACATGCTCTCTGAAAAAGTGCTCTCTTTTTTCTAGTAGCTCTCACGCATAGAGCTGAGCTCCAACTGATGGTACCAGATTTTAGTGGAGGAGGAAGCAGACGGCCTTTTTGCTACGCCTGACTCAGGCAAGTTTCGTCAGGCAAGATTCCTTAGGCTAAAATTCTCAGGGTAGCAACCAAACACGTCTTAGACAGATTACAGGCTTGGGCTCAGGCCAGGCTGTTTTGCTCAGGTAGCAACCAAACAGGCTATATGACCGTATGACATGTTGAAGGGTAACAATAGCTTTTTCCTTCCCCGGTGAAACGCTTAAGTTCTTTTCCATTTAGGTTAAACCCTATGGATAAATATGTAAGAAAACATGTGTGTTTTGTTCAGGAATAAAAAAAAAAGGAGTGAATTACATAATAAACCATATAAGTTTTATCTAAGTTTTGTTTTAGACCTCTTTATTCCCTCTTTTTATTCACACTGGATCCTTGTTCTTCCTCTTTTCGAGTTTCGATGCTCTAGCTGCTAGCCATCTTCGTCCCCACCGTCTGTCTTCTCTCCTATAGGCCCATCCTTTTCATCTCTTCGCCAATAGCCCCATCACGATGACTCCCGCTAGCCCCTTCCCAAACACCACCTGACTCCACCAAGCACAGCAGTGTGTTACTTTTGTTTAGAACAAATTAATCGTGAGGTTTTTTTTATAACAAATTAATTTGAGTGTAGATGTATTTGTAGCATTGAAGTGTATGAAGGAGTAGTTTGCTAAAAAAACACATCCCTTAATTACATCGTTTAGAAAATTGACATGGTCTATATTGTGTATATATTTGCCCATACATTTTTAATCATTTATTTATATATAAAAAATTAAGAATACAAATTTACGGAAGTATTTTTTTAACAGCTTATTACTATTCCTCCGTTTCACAATGTAAGTCATTCTAACATTTTCCACATTTATATTGATGTTAATGAATCTAGACATATATATCTACCTAGATTCATTAATATCAATATGAATGTGGGAAATGTTAGAATGACTTACATTGTGAAACGGAGGGAGTATCTTTTTTCACATATCAAACTTATTTTAAGTATTGTGATCTAGATGTTGGTTTTGATTACAAGTATTCTAAAACAATATTATATATACGAGAATGAAATTAAAGAGTAATTATATTAAATAGTACTGAACACTAAATAGTAGGAATTTAGGATGTTCAGCTCCTTCAAATGAGAAAGTCCATTAGCAGTTCAAGTGCGCGTGCACTTATCAATATCATATTATCTAAATAATTATGAAAACTTTTGGAAAAAAAAAGTTCTACTCCCTCCATCCCAAAATAAGCGTAGCCATGAGTTTCTGTGTTCAACTTTAATCGTCCGTCTTATTTAATTTTTTTAAAAAAACTAAAAAATATGTCACGTATAAAGTACTATTTAGGTTTATATTCTAATAACAATAAAAATACCAGTTATAAAAAATTTTAAATAAGACATACGATCAAAATTAGACACGAAAACTCATGGATGTGCTTATTTTGGGACGGAAGAAGTATAACACATATTACAATGTTATGCCTCTCCATGAACATGCGATGCTAAATTCAATTTATTGCACATCCCACAAAAAAAGTACTCTGTAGTACATGTTTGGCTATGAATTGTGTTGGTGCTATTTATAACATTTTTTTATTTTGTTTCTATAAGATTGAATTTAGACTTGGATTTAGGCAAGAAGATAGACACCTATTGTATTATATAAATCTAACTATTTGATTGACATTTATAAATGAGAAGCAAACTGTTAAGTGCACATGCACTCGAGTTGTGGAAATTTATTGCAATCCTTGGAGAAACAAGTTAAAAATAGATTTGGTTACGAATAGTACATGTTTGGCCAAGGGGCGAAGCAGGCATGGGGCAGCCCCATGCCTAGCTCCATGATCTTCATTGTAATATTGAAAAATGCCATGTAATTTCTGAAAATATTTAAACTCCCATTAGTTCAGCTCTACATGTGTAGGTTATTTTGGCTGCACCCCTGTTTGGCTATGAATATTATTAGTGCTATTTATAACTAAATTTGTATTTTGTTTCTCCTGATGTAGATCGAATTTAGATTTGAACTTTTTAAAGAAGGTGCATGCCTATTGTATTTTATATATATATATATATGTGTGTGTGTGTGTGTAGGTTATATTCAAATTTTAAGCTACTTTTATAATTGTCTGATTAACATTTAAGAAATGAGATGCAAACGAGATAATTAACAAGAATTCAGCTCCCCTTCAACGAAGTCTTAGCAATAGTTGGAGAAGCAAGTTGCAATAGTATTACTATTAGGCCATTCACAATGCAGTGTTTCATTACACTGTTTCCCAGACGCCACATCAGCTGAAACGAAGATGAAACAAGTTGAAACGTACAATGAAACAGACCTTCTCAATGCTGTGTTTCACTCTAGCGTTTCCAATGCAAATTCAAGGCATTTAATTCCAGCCACATAGTGGGATCGTATGTAACACAAACGTGTGTAGCCACTTGAACACAAAACAAAATACATGCATTCAGCACAGATAGGTACGATTGTTCACTTGATAAATTTAAATGACCATTCAACCAAGTTCACTACATAGCAAAGTTTAGATAACTGAATAGATGTTAACTCGAGGTGAAATATGACAGAACTAAGCTACAAATGACGATGACAAGCAGGTAACTGGAGGCAAATTGACGATGCACCCATAGATTTCATTGATTCTTTCACCCTGTACAAATGAAAGTAGTTCAGACATGACAAACAGGTTTACACATGCAGTAGATAAATATTGGAGGATCACAATTGCATAGTAAAGAAAATAACACATGTTCTAACACCCTGTAGCTACCAAAAAAGAGAAAAACATAGTGATTTGATTCTCAGAACTTACATTGTGAAGACAACAGACTGGAACCTGCAAATAGATTTTTTTTTAGGGAACCTGTAAATAGATTGGAACCTGCAGAGATTAAAAAATATGGCGATGAGCATTCAGAAATTTACAAGTGGACCATAGATATATAAATTACAAGAAAAATAAAATAATTACATTTACTGATTCTCAATTTCCAGTTCTATGTGCAGCACCACCAAACTTATTCCAAATGTGTTCCACCAAATCTTTCTTAAGTCGGTTATGAGCCGCTCGATCTCGGATAGAAATATCTTTTTCTAAAACTCTATCAAATGGTGTGTTCTGTTCAGGAGAGAACTCAGGTTCCTGAACGGTTGATGAACTAGGAGGCACATTTAGATCTAAATCTTCTTCAATAATTCTGGTTTCCTTCTCATCTTCAACTATCATATTGTGAAGTATGATGCAAGCTAGAACAACATCTCGCAGTACACCTCGATCATATAGACGAGCTGGTCGTTTTAAGATGCAAAATCTTCGCTGCAATACACCAAAGGCTCTCTCGATATCTTTTCTTGCCCCTTCTTGCATATCTGCATACAATTTCTCCTTTTCAGTGTTTGGGAGTCGTATTGACTTAACAAACACTGCCCATTCAGGGTAGATTCCATCAGCAAGAAAATACCCAGTATTGTATTGATTCCCATTTACCATGTACTGGACTCTAGGAGCTTGTCCTTTGAGCTCCTTGATAAATACAGTAGATTGGTTCAATACATTGATATCATTGTTGGAACCCGCTGCTCCAAAAAATGCATGCCAAATCCAAAGATCATGCGATGCCACAGCCTCAAGAATCAGGGTTGGCACTTTCTGATCTCCACGAGTGAACTGACCCTTCCATGCTACTGGGCATCTTTCCCAATGCCAGTGCATGCAGTCAATGCTGCCGAACATTCCAGGAAAACCACGTTTCTCACCAAGTTGGAGAAGCCGTTCGGTATCTTCCATGGTGGGGCGCCTAAGATACCTCTCACCAAACACATCTTGAAGACCTTTGACAAAATTCTTCATTGCCTCCATTGCTGTAGTCTCTCCTATCTTCAGATATTCATCTAGTTCATCTGCGCCACTACCAGTAGCCAACTGGCGAATAGCTGCAGTACACTTTTGCAGTGGACTGAGTCCTTTCCGATTAACAGCATCCACCCTTTGTGTGAAATACACTGACCACTGGCCTAATGCCTCAACGATGCGAAGAAAAAGTGGCCTAGACATACGAAATCTTCGACGAAAAATTTTGGAAGGGTAAAGAGGATTTTCTGAAAAGTAATCATTCACTAGTTGCTGATGTGCTTCCTCTCGTGGCCTCTTGATGTGCTTCCTCGGATGATGTCGATGGTCAGAAGCCTCGTTTTGAAGACCTTCTATAGTGGACTGTACTACCACCGTGGCTTCAGTGAGAAGATCATCTATGATC